AGACTTGTGGTTACCAGAGGCGGAGGGGGAGGGGGATGGGAGGAAAGCGGTCAAAAGGTACAAACCTACAGTTATAGGATAAATAAGTACTAGGGACACAATGTGCCACATGATGACTACAGCCAACACTGCTGTATGACATATAGGAAAGTTGTTAAGAGAGTAAATCCTAAGAGTTCTTATCACAAGGAGAAAATTTTTTTCCTTTTTTCTTTTCTTTTTATTGTATCTATACAAGAAGATGAATATTAGCTGAACCTACTGTGGTAATCATTTCTCAGTAATTTCACAGATTTCATGTAAATCAAACCATTAAAACCATTATACCTTAAAATTATACAGTGATGTATGTCAATTATTTTTCAACAAACTGGAAAAAAATAAATGCGAGAGCTAAAACCATGATTTTTAGAAGAAAACAAGGGTACAGAGTGGGAGAAAAAATCTGCAAATCAACTATCTGATAAGAGACTTGTATTCAGAATATATAAACAACTATTACAACTCAACAAAAGAAAGACAAATAACCCAATTAAAAAATGGGCAAAGGATCTAACAGACATTTCTCCAAAGAAGATATACAAATGGCCAAGAAGCACATGAAAAGACATTCAACATTACTAGTTATCAGGAAAACGCAAAACCAGAGATAACACTTCGCATCTACTTAGGATAGCTATAATTAAAATACATATAAGTGTCGGTGAGGATATGGAGAAACTGGAACCCTTGTACACTGCTGGTGGGAATGTGCATAGTGCAGCCACTTTGAAAATCATCTACCAGTTCTTCAAATGGCTAAAGACAGTTATTACATGACCCAGAAATTCCACAACTACGTAAATACCCAAGAGAAATGAAGACATATGTCCATGCAAAAACTTGTATATGAGTATTCATAAACATATTATTCATAACAGCCAAAAAGCCAAACTATACATTTTATATATGTGCAGTCTGTTATACCCCAATAATGGTATAAAAAACAAAAATTGGGGGCGGCCTGGTGGCATAACGGTTAATTCTGTGTGTTCCACTTGAGTGGACTGGGGTTTTCGGGTTCAGATCTCAGGTGTGGACCTACAGACCACTCACCAAGCCGTGCTGTGGCGGTGTCCCACATACAAAGTAGAGGAAGACTGGCACAGATGTTAGTCCAGCAACAGTCTTCCTCAAGCAAAAAGACTGGCAACAGATGTGAGCTCAGAGCCAATCTTCCTCACCCAAATTAAAAAAAAAAAATGATAAGCAAAAAAGCCTGGAACAGGCAATGAATTAATACATCCTCCTATTTTATTTCTAAAGGACAGTGACAAAGAATGGAAAGAAATTACAACAGAGGAAATGGCTGCTTATCCCTAGGAATCAAAAGCTGAAGAAATGGATCTTGGCCCAACTCAGATGTTTTGAGCCCAGGTGTCTCAGGTGTCGCTCCATCCAGAGACCTTGCCTTTACAGAGCTCTTCCGGAAGGAGAGTCTTCGTGGAGATGAAAGGCTGAGTGGACACAAATCTTCAGTGTTCTGGGCACTCTTCTTCTGAAACATCTGGTGTGGTGAGTGTGTGGTGGGCAGGGGGACTGCAAAGAACCGGGCACTGGAGGCCCCCAAGTCATAGGGTCACTCCAACTGAAGACTTCACTTCACTTTTCTTATTCCAGAGCCTGGAACTGTGCTTGGTATACAACAGGTGCTCAAAAAATGTCTGCCTAACGGAAAGGAGAAACAAGACTGACACTTAACTGCTACGCATGTTACCATGTTAGCTAACCCTACAGATGAGACGCTCACAGGATTACATGGGAGGAGACGGCCTCGGGCTCCGTGGGAGAATCACTTGCAAAGCTCTTACAGAGGTGAGTCCCGGGAGATGCAGTTCCTAAAACCCCACCGCGGGGTATAATTCACAGGGTGTAAGCCGCTAGGCCGTCAGCGGAGGTAGGAAACAGCCAAATTCCGGCAGGTGTGTGTGTGTGAGAAAGAGAAGAGAAAACGTGGGACAAGAACTTGGATGCTTTATTGAACTCCAGCTGGATTATTAAATCAAAGACTAGGACACGATACAACATAAAGAAGAATTTGATCAAGTTAGGAGGCCATACACACCACGGCAATAACACCCAACTCATCCTTCTCTGCTAACAGTCAGGAAGCGTTGCAACCTCAAGCTGGGCACGTAATTTCAGCAATTCCAATCTGAAAGATCCTTCAAAGTTTCTTCATCAAGCCTCTCCGGTTCTCTCTGATCAATAATGACCTCTGGCTCCCCACCTGACAGCCCATGGCATCTCACCCTTCATTTTATGGCCGATTTAGGACTTCGTTGTGAAGCCTTGTGTTTCAGTTCCACAAGCCCCACAGGGGAGCTGTGTAGCTCCAGGCTCTGGAGGCAGAGAGCGGGGCTTAAGACTTAGTTCCATCACTTCCTAGCTGTGTATCCTTATGCCAGTTGACTAACCTCTCTGACCCCAGTTTCCTCATGAGTATAACAGCTTGTTATGAAATCCAGATAATCCACATGGCAACCACTCAATGACTAGCAGTATCTGCCACATCTCTGTGAAATATCTCAAAGACATAAAACTTAGTATGGCCTAATCGGAACTCTTCGTCTTCTCCTGCAGTTTCACGCCAATCTTCTCTCAACAGCAGCACCACTACCTGCCCAGGTGCTTGTCACAACTCTGGGAGGCATCCTGGACCCCTCTCCTGACCTTACCTTCCACATGCCCTCCACCAATAAGCTTGTCAGTTCTTCTTCCAAAACATATAGCCAAGTGTCTGCTTTCACCGCTGCACCATTCCCTCCGTCGCCTCTCATCATCTATACACTCCTCCCTGCCTTCATTCTGACCTCCTGTTGGTTCACGAACTGGCTCCCGGACAGAGGGCAAGGAGAGACTGAAGAAAGAGGCAGCCCACTCAGCCCAGATGGGTAGGTGGCACATTTAATAAGCAAGGGAACTTACATCTGAGGCTTGTCTTGGGTGGCTACAAATCGACTTACCATTTTTTGACTTTACAAGGATGTGAAAGAGATAGGCACTCATGTAGAAACTGTACTTCTAATTTTGAATTCTGATCTTTTCCTGGGCTAGTGATATGAGGTCTGACACTCTCTCGTGAAGCTGGGCAGCAGCAGAGAGCCAGGGCTCCACTGGCCACATGATCAGGAGGGTAAACAGCCAATGTGCTTATAACCACTCTGCACCCACACAACCGTGCTACTTTTCACTTTCAGTACAGTATTCAACAAATTACATGAGATATTCAACACTCCATTATAACATGGGCTTTGTGTTGGATGATTTTCCCAACTATAGGCTAATGTAAGAATTCTGAGCATGTTCTGAGCAGGGCTAGGCTAAGCTGTGATGTTTGGTAGGTCAGGTGTATTAAAGGCATTTTCGACTTATGATATTTTCAACTTACCATGGGGTTATCGGGACATAACCCCATCGTAAGTCAAGGAAGATCTGTTTATAGAGGCCTAAATTGGCTTCAGTCACATATTCAGTCCAGACGGTCTGAACGCCACCTTACTGTTTCAAGCCTATGTCCTTGAAACCAGCTCCTAGTTTGGGAACAGCAGGCAGAACATACATTCCAAGGACAGAGGAGGGGGTGAGGAGTCTCTGATCGCCTAGATCCAGCTCAAGGATCAACAAGATGTCACATCCTCTTGATGACCTCCTCCAACATCACTATCCCTTTCATTTTCCAAAGAGCTGCCAGAGTAAGATCTTAGAATGTCAGTAGGATCATGTCACTTTACTATTTACTCCCCCTCCCCCAAAATGTGCACCCTAGTAATGAACCAGCATTTACCTCGCAGAAGAGGACAACACCCAGGAGGTACCAGAGCCACAAGACAGAAGGGATCCGGGTTCCTGGAATGTCCTTGATCTGGGTACCACCAGCCCCATACCTACATTTAGGATCCTGCATTCTGGATTGCTCACCTCCACACTGTTTATGTGTGGGAGAATCAAACTTTCACCTCGTTGGAGCCAATGTGGTTTGAAGTTTCGCTGTTACAGAAGTTTAACCTATGCCCTAGTAATATGGTACCTGGAAGTGGGGTGCTGCTGTGACAGAACATAAGTGACACTGTCTCCGTGGTCAGGCAGTGGGTGGTGAGGAAACAGATGTTGCAGGGAAGAAAGCTAGTCACTCCTTATGGTGTGCAAAACACTTGAGAAAGACGATGCCTGCATTAACTTGGAAGACAGATCCTGCGCTTATCGAGCCTGTAGGTCTAGAAGAAGCAGACAGAAAAAATTCAGATGCTGGATATGTTGGCTGCTCATCGCTGCTCTTAGCAAGGAACCACGAAATAACTGAGATCGAGCGAAACCAGCAATTCGCAAGGAGAGGTGGACGATAACAGTGCTGCTCAGAGGCTCTGCCTTCCAGCTCCAATCTCACAGGACTTCTTCCAGTTCGCTAAAAGGCTAAGCGCTTTCCTACCTCCTATACAAGCTGTTTTCCCTTCTAGTCTCACACAGACCTGATCACCCACCCACTCCGATCTTGATTAGGGCCCCCATCACCAACCACCTCCCCTTACCCTGTTCTCTCCCGTCAAAGCACTCAACCGAGACCCGACTGGTGTGTCTGCTCACCTGGCACCCCTACCACACCCAGCCCGGCGTCTGCACGTGGAGGCGTGACTCAGGGACGCCGCGGGACACCACCCGACGTAGACCCCGAATCCACTAGGCTTGGCACGGAGCCCCGCGCACGGGTGAGGGACCTGGCTGTGCAGTCCCTGGAGTGCCCGGGTCCCCCATCTCTGCGCAGGCGCGAACGCAGGAACGCCGGAGGGGCGATGTCACGGCACCGCCCACCCCGTGCCCCGCCCCGACAAGTGCATGCCGGCGGCTTCCGCCAGGCCTCCTCCCTGACCAGGCCGCCTGGAGCCGCCTGGAGCCTCGGCCCACTGGGGGCCCCCCAGCGGTGCCGCCTTCCCGTTCCCAACGCCGAGGCCCCGGGGGCTCACCGGGTCCCCCGGAACCTGCAGCTCCTCCGGCCTCCGCCGTCGCCACCGGCCCGGCGCCTGGGTATCCATTGCGGCCCCAAACCCGAGTCCGGCCGGCCTCCCATCACCGCCTGAGGCCGGCGCCCTGCCCACGCCGCGCGTCCACGCCCTCTTCCCCCACGTGTCCCTGGGGGGCCAATGAGAGACGGGGGCGGGGCGTCAATACGGCCGCAGGCAGAAGTAGCGGAGACCAGAGTCTTCTGGGCATTCGGGGACGTCTGGCCAGGTCATTATTTTGCAAAGAGGGCTGGCGTGTTGCTTCTCTGATCACCGAATCGGCCGTGGGGCTTCGAAGAACCTACTCTTCTAGGGTCCCGCCACGCTTCAACTACAGACCTCCGATCGGCTGCAGGAGCGCCCGCCTCCTCTCTCTCGTCATTGGTCCCTGAGCCCAGGCTGCAGCCGACTTCCTGCGGCTGGTTGGCTGATAGATGGCGCAGCGGGCCAATCAGTATGGGCGAGCCTGTGGGGGTCTCTGGGAGTTGTAGTCTTGGGGAGTTGGCCTCGCTTCTGGGCGGGAGGGGAGCCCGGTACATCTGCGGGGAGGCATGGTCTCCAGCCGGTTCTTCCCCGGTGCATGGTGACTCCTCGCCCGAGGGCGCTCCACTGCTCCGCAGGCTGGAGCGGTGAGCTGCCGGAGCACTCAGCTGTGCGGAAGGGGAAACAGAGGCCTCTCGCCCGCGCCGTTGGTGGGGTGGTTCTGGCTGGGCGCCCCCAAAACAACTGGTGTCGCCCCCAGCCCAGCGCTGAGCCGGGGACCAGGAGTCGGTCTGGGCTGGAGCGTGCTCGGGCTCTGCTCGCCCCGCACCGCGCGCCCCCTCTACGCGGAGCTCCCGTCCTGCCTGCTCTGGTGCGCCCGCCCCGGGACCCTTTCTGACTAATTAAAATCGATCCAAGCCCGCCCTTTGCCGGTGATTGCTCGCGGTGGGCGGGTGACCTGGTCTTGGCCAGTGAGAAGTAAAGGAGGTCTCTTGAGCACAGGGCTCTGGGGAAGATTTTCTTTCCTGTTAAAAGGGGATTGATGGGCGGCGACTGTCTTCTTCCCTACTGTTGTTTCCAGTGTAAGCTTCCTGGAGCTGCTGCAGCCTCCTTGTCACCGTGAGGGCAGCTGGTGGGAAACCTAGTGGAAAGTAGCACCTAGGCCCGAACAAGTGAGCTTCTGAACCCACCTACAGCTAACTGCCCACCGGTCTCCAGACTTCTTGTCGTGTCTCTGTTATTTGAGTCACTGTTAGTTTCCCGTTTCCTGCAGTTGAAGGCATTCTTTGTTAAAAGGCCCTCTCCTGAAGCATTATAGTGAAATGCATGACACCCTACTTAGTTGGGCTACTTGCTGGGTGATCTTCAGCACATTAAGTAGCTAATCTACTTCTGTGTTCTCATTTATAAAAGATAATGATGACTCATAGGGCATTTTGAGGTTTAAATCAGGTATTTACATATCAGGTACTTAGAACAATGCCTGACAGGAGCTAAGTTCTCAATGAATGGTGTATGGCTCCTACTAGTGCTCTTAGGACTAATACTGCCACTGCCAGTTCACAATCCTGTTTCAAAAACCCTTGAGGTCTTCCAGTTATAAGATGAGTAAGTCCTGGAGAAGTGATGTGTGGCGTGGTGACTATAGTTGACAATACTGTTATGTATTTGAAAGTTGCTAAGAGAGAGTTTTAAAAGTTGTCACCATAGAAAAAAGTTAACCCTGTGAGGTGGTGGATGTGTGAACTAACCTTCCTGTGGTAATCATTTCGCAGTATATACATATATCAAATGATTACATCATACGCCTTAAACTTGCACAATGTTATCTGTCAGTTACACCTGAATAAAGTTGTGGGGGGGACTTTGGGGCCAGATGTATTTTTGGAATTCAGAATTTTTAGGATTTTTTCAAATGACAGTATAGATACTGTATGAAACACCTCCAGCGGGGGCTGGGACAACACCCTATAATCAAACGCAGTATTTCTGCAGCAAAAGTGTGTGAATATCCACAAATATTCACCCTAAGTGGGATATATGAAGGCTGTAAATACAGATATTAGTTCAAATGAGTTTGCTCCAAACTTAGGAAAAAACTTATAATTTTTAGAACTTTGTATTTCAGAATTGAAGTCAGATACTAGTGTGCACCTGTACTATACCACCTCTACTTTAAAATACTTTAAAAACCTTTTTTTTTTGTCTTGAAGTTTAGATTAAATGACATGCTTTGCCATGCAGTTTCAAAATCATTGGTCTTTGTCCTTAGGGCTGCTTTTTCAGATGCTGGAGACAAACGTTGAGTAATGGGGAAAAGCTCAGCCCAGGACCTGCCCTCAAAGACAGTCCCCTCCGCCAGACTCCTCTCTGGCTCCTCTGACTCTCTTACCAACTAGGCCCTGACTTTGGGCTTTTCGTGTTCGTGGCCAATTTTAGCCAGAATCCTGCTAAGTCACTTTAGCCCTAATCACCCACCCTCCATATCTGATGGGGTTCCTCATCTTCTGTCAACCCCCAGGTGATGTCTGAGCACCCTGGCCTTCCTTCAGCAAGAATCCTGTCAAGTCAACTTAGCCAGAATCTCCCTCACCTCTGATATTTCCTCTTACAATTTCCCATCCACTGACCCTGACCCCCCTCCTTGGCTAAAAATCCCCACTTAACCTTGTTTTCGGAGTTGAGCCTAATCTCTCTCCCCTACTGCAAAACCCCATTGCAGGGGTCCCTATACCTGTCACTATAGTCCCCCTGAATAAAGTTGCGGTACTGTTCTTTACAAGTGCCGTGGATGCTTCTTCCTTTAAGACTGCATGCAGCAGGAGGTATATTACATTCACTAGGATGCTCACTATTTACCGAACACCAGTCATTTGAGTACCAACTGCAGGATGTATACGAAACCTCTCCTATTATCTACCTGGTATAGTTATTTAAATTCTTAACATCCCCAATTTTAAAAAACTTTAAAATATCCATAAAATGATGAGTAAAAGTGCTCATTATTTTAATATATTAAAACAAGTACGTTAACTATTAGAAAACCACATAGGGGGAAATCTTCATGACGTTGGATTCTTGTATAGGACACCAAATGCACAATCAACAAAAGAAAAAGAGGATGAATGTGACTACATCAAAATTAAAAACTTTTTGTCACAAAGGATACTATTAATGCAGTGAAGAGGCAACCCATGAAATGGAGTAAATATTTGCAAGTCAATCTGGTAACGATCTGATCCAGAATACATAAAGACTTCTACAACTAACAATAGAAAAACAACCCGATTAAAAAATGGACAAAGGACTTGAGTAGACGTTTCTCCAAAGATACAGGAACATACAAGTGGCCAAAGCACATGAAGAGATGCTCGACATCACTAATCGTTAGAGAAATGCAAATCGAAACTGCAATGAAATACCACTTCATACCCATTAGGAGGATTACTATAAAAAAAGAGTAATAATAACAAGCGTTGGCAAGGATGTGGAGAAATTGGAACACGTGCATCGCTGGTAAGAATGTACAATGGGGCAGACGTTATTAAAAACAGTATGGCGTTTCCTCAAAAAACTAAAATTATTATGTGATTTCACAATTCCACTTCTGGATACATACACAAAAGAATTGAAAGCAGGGACTGAAACAGATATTTGTACACCCATGTTCATGGCAGCATCATCCACAATAGCCAAAAGGAAGAAGCAAATCAAGTTTCTGTAGAGGTATGAATGGGTAAACAAAACGTGGAATATACATACGGTGGGATTCAGTCTTCAAAAGGAAGGAAATTCTGACACATGCTACAACATGGAGGAACCTTGAAGACATTATGCTCAGTGAAATAAGCCAGATACAAAAGGAGAAGTACTGTATGATTCTACTTACACGAGGTCCAGAAAGCAGTCAAATTCACAGAGATAGAAAGCAGAGGCATGGTTGCCGAGGGCTGGGGGTGGGGGAATGGGGAGTTAGTGTTTAATGGGTTCAGACTCACAGTTTTGCAAGATAAAAAGAGTTCTGGAGATGGATAATGGTAATGGTTGCACGATAATGTGAACGTGCATGATGCCACTGAACCGTACACTTCAAAATGGTTGAGATAGTCAATTCTATGTTATGTATATTTTACCAAAATAAAAAAAGAAAAGAAATACATTAAATATTAAAAGAAAATTTGTTTCTCTGTGCACCACTTACAGTCAGCGTTCACACCTCCAGGGGAAGTAGCTCTCAGGAGGAAGGTGACTGGAGTTCCAATTTCACTCTGCCGATTGCTAGCACCTGGGCAAGCTGCTGTACCCTCTCAGTCCCCGCCCCTTTTTGGTGTATAACATTGGGATGCCTACCTCAACGGGTGCTCTGAGTTTTCAGTGAGATACGGTCTGTAGAGTAGTGACTGTGATGTCTGCGACATAGTAAGCTCACAGTTCATCATGGCTAGTGTGACTGCCTCTAACCTTTTCCCAACTAAGCACTGGACCGTTCAGGAAGTTTCTGGGGAGCTTTGGTTTGCTTATGGCTGCAGCACCTAACTAGAGATGTATGCTGGGGTGAGCGTTCATTTCTGAGCCTCAGTTTGCTCATCTGTAAAATAGGAATAAAATAGCCTGCTCCTGTTGCCTGCCTTCCAGGGAAGTCAGAGCTTCAAGGAGTAGCTGCAGGTTGCCTTTATTAACACTCCCAGCTCAGCCCTGCCCAGGGAGAGCTGTGTGTGTGTGTGTTTGTGTGTGTGTGTGTGGTGGGGAGGAGATTGAGTAACAGTTTTGATTCAACTGTTACAAAGCCATTACTTCCATTTTTCCATTGGCTTAACCTTCCCCCTCTCAAGCTCCAGTGACCTCCTTTAACAATTGCTGCCTCTGCTTATCTTGTTGGGATGTCAAAGAGATAATATATATAAAGCCTCTAGCACAGAGCCTGGCGCATGGTAGATGTCTAATAAATGCTCTTTCCTTTCCTTCAAAAAAAATTCCCAGCACTTCCTTGGGCACTGGGATCACGTTATTTTTTCTTTGAAATTTACACTTTCTTTGCGTATTATAACAATAACAGCTATCACCTTTGCCCAGAAACTGCATGGCTCCCTCCTCCTTGTTTTTCAGAAGTTGAGGGAGCCGTCCCTTCCTCAGAGCAGTCCTGCCGACCCCCTGATGAAAAGCAGCACTGCATGCTCACCCCAGCCCCACTCCAGTCCTAGGACACTCAGCACTGGCTGGGAACTCTCTTTTTCACCGATGGATTTTCCCTATCTGCCTCCAGAGTGCTCATCCTCCACTGGACAGAGCCAGGCCTGCAGCGGGTTCTCAGGAAATAACTCTCTGTTGGGCATCAGAGACTTTAGCAGTCAATTTGCCTCCTTGATTTCATCCTCACAGCAATGCTGCAGGGCTGTCTTCTTGTTCAGATAAAGAAGCCGGCTCAGAGATGTCACCTCTTGTGCCCAGGGCTGCAGAAGGATGATGTGGCAGACCTGAATTCACACAGCGTGCTGTCTGGATTTGCCGCCCTCTCCCTGCCCTGTAGCCTTTGGTTCCTGGGGAAAGCCTCCTTATTAAGCCACAGGTCATCCTGAAAACCAGGTGAGTTCCATCAAACAAACAAACAGGAACAGCTCTAGCTCCACCCCAGGGCCTTAATTTCACAGGGCAAGTTTCGGATGCCCACTGGAGAGTGCAGGGTCACACCCAGGAGTGGCTTTCTCAAGGTGAGCCTCCTTTGTACAGGAGCACGAATCATCTTTATTCTGAACACCCACCTCTGCATTTGAAGAGACTTGTGCAGGAGAGTGTGCGGTCAAGAGCTTTCTTCTCCCTAAGAATCTGGCAGGTCGCTGCCTCCCCATCTGCTTCATCACCTACCAGCCTGGGTCTGGCCTGTCCCTTCACTGACCAGTGGATCTGTGCATGCCAGGCCTGGCTCTTCTTGCTTTCTCTTTCTCCTCATTGCTAGAGTTCCAGCCAAAGTCCATCTCTCCCGCGGGACCTTCCCTTCATGGCTCAGGTTTGCTCCTCTGACCACTGCTGGCACTTGGCCCTCCAAAGTCTATCCCCTTCTATCATGCTGTCCACACTTCCTCATCTGCATCCATCAGGACTTGCCGAGGGATCTCATGAACCTGTGACAATGGACTGTGAGTCAGATGTTTTCTGGGTAGAGCTGGCGTATGACAATGTTCTTCCTTGGTGGGTTAAGGCAGAATATTTGCTACATATGGAGGCCTTAGTATTATGCTTTCCTTTGAGTCCATGCCAAGAAGCTGTCCTATAGATGAGACCCCTTCTGACGCATCGCTAAGTCATCCATTCTCAGAACCGGAAGGGCAACAGCTTCATGCACTGATAAGGGAACTGAATTCAGCTCACTCACTCGTTCATTCATTCGTTAACAAACATTTCACTGTGTGCCCGGGAGGCAGAAGACTCCCTGAGTCGGTGGAGGTCTGTCATCCATGAACTCAGTGGCTGACCCTCTGTTCTCTGGAAGACCCATGATTGTGTTCATCACTGTGGCCCCAGGGCCCAGCACAGGCGGCGGGGGGGGGGGCGGCGCCCGACTGGATACTCAGCACAAGAACCATTAATAAATGAGGTCAGCAGAGTTAGCTGGGTGGCGTCTGCTTCAGCCATGGCCTGGGGAGGCCTCCAAGCGAGGTGCCCTTGCCCTCCTGCCTCCTCTGGCTGCTGTGGGTCACAGCATCTGACATCTCTCGGATGTTAAGTGGGACACAAGCTTTGCTGTCTCGGCCTCATCTTTTGCCTGGGTCTTCAGCTCTACGGCGCACAGGCAACTTGTCAGGCCCTCTCTCTGTGGACAGGTGGTTCTATCCCAAGAGGACTAGAATCTGAAGGATGCCCCTCTCTCTAGAAGGTCAGCACACATTTGTTTTGCTGAGGGTCATGGTTTTGTTCCAATGTCTTTTTAGCTCAGGTTGTATTTTCTTTTATGGCAAGACAGTATAAGATTTCTTTAAATATAATCCTTGTAATGATCCAGGCATACTTCATTAAGGCAAAAAAATAAAATAATAATCCACTGCTTTTCAACTTTCAAAATAATGTCTCTACATGAAGACTTTTGTGATCTAAGTCAATTCCCTGAATTGTTTTCTGATGCTGTAAATGTGCTCTTCACGGTGGACCAAAAGTAGATAATTATTTAATATTGAAAGACTTTATGACTGATGCAAATTAGAGATTTATATGATACTGTATAACATATGTGCCCCAATCCACCCAATAATGTCACTGTAAACACTTGCTACATACAGGAGGCAAGGATTTCAGAGTCTGTCATTTCACATTTTCTTCATTGGTGCAGTAGATAAATAAAAATATTAATAAATCACAAATGTGCCTTCAAAAATCAATAGCTTAAGGCTTGATCAGGAGGTATTAATTTGTATCTCATTGTGAGCTGTCCCTGCTTCTAGTAACTTGGTAATGTTTGTTAAATGCCAGACACTAGTGTACTTTCTATGCCACCTTATGTTTCAACAATAGATTGAAATTTTAGCATGACGTTTTATATTTCATCCTAAAATTTTTTTATTTGCAAGTGTATGAAGTCACCTTGGTTATGTTCAATAATCCATTTTTGCCATGTATTTTCATATAAATTATAGGATGTTTTTGCCTCTCAGCTCTCACGACACAGTAAGGAGAAACCCCCAGCATGTGGAAATATGACTGATGCCACATTAGTGTGTGGGTTGGAAATAATAAGGATTATAAATGACTCGCTGGGTATAGAAAATAAGGGGAGAAGACTTATTGGGGAGACGTAAAACGGCTTGCTCTCTTTATGCACCACCGAAAGAAGGTACCATGAGAGATATATTGCTATTCACTTCTCTTTATTTCTAAGGGGGTTTTTATTAACCCCTTTTTATCAATCAAAATAAATTGATTTCCAGTGAACGCAATATTTTCTATTTGAAATTATCAAACAGAAGCAAAGGCACTCAAACTCACATACTACATCTTCCAGTAAATAAGAGACAGACCCCTACTGAAGAGATTGCTAAATAGTGTTAAAGGTTTTCATAGCCGTCCCTTAAAACAGAACATTTCATTCAAGGGTAGGCGTGGGCCCTGGGATTCGTTTGGAATTCAGCTATATCCTGCCATGTTAGTGACCAGATATTCCAGAGCACTGCTATTTAATATTTATGTCCCATCATAAAAGGACATATTTCTGTAAGGTAAATGCAGTTATGGCCAATAATAAGCCAGTCCTGGGTAAGGCAGGATATAATAACTGACTCAAGGGGAGAGAAACTGGGTGGCCAGGAATGCACGGTGAAGAGCATCCTGGAGAGGGGTCCAGTCACTTCTGGCTGTGATGCAGTGAAATCGAATGTGCGGGAACTGGAAAATAAAGACTTCCCCCACAAGGGTGGGAGCAGCCCTCCTGGTCCTCACTAGTCTGGGCAGAAGGCCCAAGAGTTTGGGACAATAGGAATAAACATGGCAGTTTAGAACATGGGGCCAGGTGGGGCTTCCCCCACCCCACCTGGAGGGGCTGAGGATGTGATGGCAGCAGCCTGAGACTGGAAACCTCCCCGACGCCCGGGAGCTTGTTGCCTCTTCCATCTCAGCCCTTAGGGCAGCTGTGGCCTGACTTGCGAGGGGCTGGGAGCTGGCAGAGCTGTCGTGTCGCCTCTGTGCAGAATCAGCTGGATGTGGCTTAGTGCCTGCCTCTCCCTCAGATCCGTAGCATAAAGGGCTACTCATTTTAGGGTCCCACATGTCTGTCACTTATCATAGGAAGGAGACTTTTGTTCCTGTATCTCCTATTACTCATTTCTTAGTTCAACATATATAAGTGAAAAAAAGAATGTATGTCATAGTTGGAAAGTCTAAAGGTAACATTGGCATTGAATTCGTTTTTTTTGAGGAAGATTGGCCCTGAGCTAACATCCATGCCAATCTTCCTGTATTTTGTGTGGGATGCTGCCACAGCATGGCTTGATGAGCAGCACTAGGTCCACACCCGGGATCTGAACCTGCAAACCCTGGGCCACCAAAGTGGAATGTGTGAACTTAACCACTACACCACTGGGGTGGCCCGGCATCGAAATTTTTTAATGAGATATTTCTTCTGATTAAAATAAAGTATATTTCATATGAATGAGTGAATAATAGATACTTACTTAAACTTAGGCTAATAATGGAGTCACCACCAAGTTTATGCTTTACTCTGGCTCTAGGACACGACCACAGAGGTTTAAACTTTAGCTTCTTTATCATGAGATCATGAAATACTGACCCGTTTATTTCATATACATACTATGGGGCAATAGAGCCTACACATTGTTTAAAAATCAGTGGTTTGTTTGTTCCCTTTCTTTTTGGTTTCTTTGGTTCTAGAGGAAGGAAGTTAAAGACAGCAATCATTTTACAGAAAAATCGTCCCAGCGGTGGAAATCCGAGGTGGGCGAGCCAGCTAGGCTTCCTTTCAGAATTGGAAGCAAATCCAAATCCATTCACATCGTCGGTCTGTGTTATTTATTTCACCCCTCCCTGAAGTTACCCTTAAGGTTCGCCCAGGGCAGCTGCTGACCCTGGGGCACGAGGCCCCCGCCATTGTTGAGCAGGGGTGCTGCAGCGTCTCGGGTTCCTGCCGTGTCCTGCCCACTGGGCTCCTGCGGAGCCGTGGTGGCGGGCTGACATTCACACTACCCAGGCAGCACAACTCAGGGAGAGGTGGAAGAATACCGAGTTCAAATGATTTAACAAAAAATACTCGATGTTCCTTTGTCTTGCACCTGGGAGAAAATGTCACTGTCTTCTATTAGAGGACAGAGAGAATGGGAAGGAAGCCGTGGTAGGCGTGGCAAACTTTTGAAACATTTTGACAGGCGTAAGACTATTGCGCTCATAAGACTATTGCGCTCATCGATTTGACTAAAGCGATGCCAATTAGCTTTTGAGGTTGGGATGGAGGCAGCCGAGTGTTAAACAGCCAGCGACTGACTCTGTCCTTTGGCCGTAGCTTGGACTCCAGAACTATTAGCTGTGTATCGCCGAGCTGTCTTTAAAGGTCTGTGTGTGTGTGTGTGTGTGTGTGTGTGTGTCCGTGTGTTTCTCAGAAGTGTTCCAGACCTCTGTACTCTGAATTCCTTCCACAGGTAGGAAGGGACACCTCTGCTCCTGGTACCTCTGGACACTCCAGATGTCCACTCTATGAGGTGACATATCTGTGTGAAAGTAGCCCATGAGAGAGTGCCAAGGCCATGGGACAGAGGCCCCAGCATGTGAGCTCAAACGAGGCAGCATGGGTCTGAAAGGGTCCTTCTTGAGATGTGAAATCTTGGAGCCACAGCCTGAAGGAGCTCGCCTGGTGAGAACTTCTTAGCTCTCTTAAGAATTACTTCTGACTTTACAAGCAATCTTGTTTGTGACACCAAGGCAAGCTCATCTGTGCTCTCAGTTTCTCAGATTTGAAACAAGAATTACAAATAGGAGCAGAAAATTATCTCCAAATGGACTTAGAGAATAGATACACAGACACACATGTGCACACATACAACGCTGTTTATATGTAACACGTTTGGCTCACAAAAACATGCAGCTGCATGTAAATATCCACAGTGGTTATGTATGTTTGTGATCAACAAAGTGTCCTGGAATGTGCATCTGGGGTGATCGCACCCGGAACTGGACCTTCAGGTAAACAAAGAGACACGTGGAAGTGTGTGTGCAGGTGACACGTGCCGTTCAGAACTCTCCGCCCCGTCCCACCCCCTGCCAGCATGCTTTCATATGGACATCTTATAGGATCTCAGAACCACAGCTGTTGGACTAAGAAGTGGGGAAAGATGTCAAAAGTTGGCAGATCAGGGAAAAAGCACGTTTTTGGTGGATCAGCAGAGCATTTTCAGATACAGCATCTGTTTGTGTTAATTCTTAATTGTGGCCTCTCTAGGTTGAATAAAGAAATCACTCAACAAAGGACGCTCCTTCTCCAGCCTGAAGAGGCGCTGACGCCACCTACAGCCTGGAGACCGGCTCTGCAACCAGCACCTGCCAGCCAGTCTGGTGCTGGGGGGAAGAGATTAGAATTTATATGGGGCATGGAGAACGGGCAGTCAACTCTCAAGGTGAATACTTTCCCTGATAAATTGTAAACCATTAAAAACATGTTTAAAAATTATTTTGACTAATGAGTTTTTGAAGATTGTAGCAGTTGGATTAAAATTTGTGAACTACATTTCTTATATAAATATATTTTTTCTAGTGAGCACCTTCTAGGATATGGTCACATCTTGTGTGTGTGTGTGTGTGTGTGTGTGTAGCAACCTCAAACATTCAACCCAAATCCAGATTAGGTTAGTGGGTACATGCTTATCCACATAGTCTTATCTTCTTAGGGGAAACCGGATTACTGTGAAACCATCAGATAACACACAATTCTGAAAAGAAATGGAATGTATTTTTATTGGTGGAGCCAAGATGAAGTATGTCTTGAAATCTGTTTTACAAATAAACTTGCACATAAATTGTCCATTCGCTGCTTCGAAATCTTTTTTCACATTTGAAGAGCTGTCAGAGGTCCCTAATAAACATGAGTCTTATTTAGTTTACTGGGTATGTAATTCTTCTTTTCTTTGAAAATAATTATTTTTCAAGCAAGTGCAGCAAAAATACAACCAATAAAAATCTAGCTATGACAGCATAAACAACCTTTATAGCCAGCATATACATAGAGTTCTTCCAATAAAAGCGGCTCCTGATAAGGAAGGGAACAGAACATTGACTGACTCCTGCCGAGATCAAGTGCCAGTCTCCTAAGGGTTGACAGTGGGAACCTCACAGCCAGTTCCCACTCCCCTAACCTGGACTTGTCCTTGGCTATCAGGGTGACCCTTGGGCTAAGAAGAAGAGGGCTGGTCGCTTGGCAGGACCCAGTGTCCAGTTCATCTCAATGTGATTTGGGAGACACCCTTCCCAAGGCCCATTCCTGGGGCCACCGAAGTTGATGGACAATGGGCTGAAATTCCCTGGAGGGCTCTGGAGAGGCAGGATGCAGCCTGTCTCCCTCTTGGTTCCACCATCCCCCGTCCATGCCAGTGATCCCTTGGTGAGGGCCATGCCAGGGTAGGTGGTAGGGCTGGCATGTGGAGATGGGAGTGCACGCAGGAGGATCTGATCCAGGGATTCTGCTCTGGGCTTTGGTCAACCTGGTCCTGACCCGTTGGGGCTCCTGGGGAGACCCGCTTGTTGGGGCCATTCCCAGCCCTGTGCCCAGCCATGGTCACTGCAGCCCCTGACCACCACCCGGGGCCATCAGTGCATGGGCAGAGCCTGAGCCTGCAGTGCGGGGGCTCTGGGGTGTCCCCAGTCCTGTGCTTAGCTGTGGTCACTGCGTCCCTGGCCACGGCCATGGCCACCTGTGTAGGCAGAGCCGGCAGCACTGGGGCTCTGGCCTCCCTAGTTGGGTGCTGACTCCTCCCAGGGAGCTCCATGTTAGCAAGTTCCAGCAGACGTGTGGGTGTTCATTTATGCTTTTTATAGTAGCTAGAGAAGATGTTATCGCAGCTTGAGAACAGAAATTAAAATATGTATCCTTCAGGTGCAAATCTACTGTACTTACAGTTTTACTGTTTCTCTGCAGGGGGCTCCATTAATCTTGTAACAGTGAAATTCCTAAGGAAATTAATTCCCTCCAGTTGGGGTTACTCTCAACTGGTCTTTGGGGGTGGAGTAATTGGAATTTAACAGTCTCTCTTAGAGGAAAGGAAACAGTGGCCATTTCACTTGAATAACAACACTTTTTAATGCCATACTTTGCCCATTAAAAATGCCTTCTCATTCTTTCCCTTCCAGTACCCCTTGTGTCTCTCAGCTCCTCTTGTTAGGGTTTACAGAGACCTGGCCAGGCGGGAATTCACTACCAAGTCCTCGTTTATGCTCACCAAGTATTCTCTCCACTCTGGGTTATTTGTGCACACTAGTACACAGCCCTGTGCCCTGCAGCGGAGTAACACTGGATTGACCACAGGAATAAATGATGCATTATCAAAAGTGCATGGCTAAAATATTCCTTTGCTGGTTTAGGAGCAGTAAATGTTAGCTGTCGCTACCTGGGAAAATAATTACCCCTCAGTGTCTCTCTCTCACACAGACACATTTTAAAATGGGGTCTTTAAAATGGGGTCAATTCACAGATGTAGGGTGGAGCGCCTTCGCTGCCAGGAAGGCCCCCTGCAGTCCTGTCTGGTGCTTCCGTTCTCCCAGGCCAAGACTTCACCCTGAGGCCCCCGGAGCCCCAGCTTCCTGATCCCCATGCTCCTGGCCTGTGAAGTGCATACAGCACCCTCGGGGAAACCTAATTGTCCCACCAGGGCTGTCCTGCTGTCCTGGGAGAGCTGTTCCTGGTTCCTGACCAAGTGAGGCCTGGGAGCCCAGGAGAGGCCCCTGTTCAGAGGGCACTTAAGATGAAGTGTCACTAGGTTCCCTAGGGGGATCACCCCACCCCCAAGAGAGAATAGGACATGGCTAAAGGATGCTTCCATATGGAGTCAACAGAAGGTCAGCGCCTGGGATGAACCCACATTGGGGACACAGGCCAAAATCAGCCCCAATATCTTGCTTTTCTGTTTTTGAGCTTTCCAGCACTAACAGGGAAAGCCAAGTGCAGAGTATTCTGTAACAGCCAAACCAGTTTAATTTTCTAATGACGAGGTTTTCCCTCTGGGCCTGAAAATGCTTAGAGAGGCCTGGGCTCCCTAGAGTGTTAACGGCATGCGATGCCAGATGGGGTGTGTAGTGGGGCAGGAGAAGAACTTGAGGCAGGAAAGGGAAGGCCCTGGGGAGAGTCCTAGCACTGCCCCTTTCCTGCTGTGGGTCTGGGCAGTTTCCGTGGCTATACAGTGGCAGTTGGCAGTGATGGTTTTTACATTGCCAGCTCAAGGAGCACTGAATGATAAATACAGACATGTGGCTCTGGCTCACGGCTGAGTGGAGTAGTCTTTGTTTTCCAAGTCAGAGCTTTTTTCTTTTTTTTTTTTTTGGTGAGGAAGACTGTCACTGAGCTAACATCTATGCCAATCTTCCTCTATTTTGTATGTGGGACGCTGCCACAGCATGGCTTGATGAGCAGTGTGTACGTCTATGGCTGGGATCGAAACCCATGAATGCTGGGCTGCTGAAGTGGAGCACATGACCTTAACCCCTATGCCACTGGGCTGGCCCCAAGTCAGAACATTTTAAAGCTCAGAGGTCACCTGCTGACCCTTAGGCCTGTTGATACCAATAGTGACAACGGCAAAAGGGCAGAAGGCAAAATGTTATCTGGGAGTTTCCGTAACATTTTTTTCTTTTTTAAGTAGGGAACATGCTTGGCAGCTGGTATATGGTACTTTCAGCAAATTCCATTTAAAGGAAAAAGTAAGATTTTTGAAACTGCCCCACGAGAGGAGTGATTATGGCTTTTTTGGGAAAAGATTCACTATAGCACATTTCCCTAGTGCATCACAATTTCATTATTTTTTAAATTACAAAGCCAGTCCACGATCTTTGGAAAAATGCAAAATGACACTAAGTAGATAAGGTAAAAAGTGAAGGTCCTCCCTTTATTTTTTGAGGAAGATTAGCCCTGAGCTAACATCTGCTGCCAATCCTCCTCTTTTTGCTGAGGAAGACTGGCCCTGAGCTAACATCCATGCCCATCTTCCTTGCTTTATATGTGGGACGCCTGCCACAGCATAGCTTGCCAAGCAGTGCCATGTCGGCACCCGGGATCCGAACCAGTGAACCCCGGGCCACTGAAGCGGAACGTGCGAACTTAACCACTGTGCCACTGGGCCGGCCCCTGGTCCTCCCATTAAAACTCCCCTATTTTCACTCTCTAGGGGTTGGCTCTCCTAACACTTTGGGGGACATCCTTCTGAAGATCTTTTTCTAAGCTACATTCAGCTACATATAGTTGTACATTTTATTTCCATATAATTCTGTTTAACAATGGTCATCAGAGTACACGTCCTGTTTTGCAACATGCTGTTCCCCCACAACGCATTTTCTTTCATAGTAATCTCTAGGCCTGATTTACGTTTTTTTTTTAAACTATTTTTTTTTCTTCTCCCTGAAGCCCCCCAGTACATAGTTGTACATGCTAGTTGTAGGTTCTTCTGGTTGTGTTATGTGGGATGCTGCCTCAGCATGGCTTGACAAGTGGGGCCAGGTCCACACCCAGGATCCGAACCCGCGAAATCCCAGGCGGCCGAAGTGGAGCACGCGAACTTAACCACTTGGCCACTGGGCCGGCCCCCAAAACTGACCTCTTTATTTCAAAATAGTTATTGAGTCACATGCATTTATAAGAAATAATACAGAGCTCTTGTGTACACTTTCCCCCAAAGACAGCATCTTGCAAAACTGTACTAGAATCACAACCAGGATGCTGATCGTCACACAGTCCACCCATCTTTTTCAGATTTCCCATCTTTCCTTAGCCTCCTCTGCGTGTGTGTATTTTGTTTTATGTAATTTTATCACATATCTGGGTTTGTGTATCTACCACCACAGTCAGGACACAAAACAGTTCCTCATCGCTCTCCTATGGCATTTTAAAGAGTGTAATTTACCATTTTCAGTGACATCTACTTCTCAGGGGGAGACACACAAGTAATTGGGCTCCTCAAAGCCACTTTCAACCAGCAGAGCAGTGCTGCCAAGAGAAGACACAGGTGAGCCACAGGTGAAAGTCACCGAAGTAATTTAAAAGTTTCTAGTAACCACATTAAAAAGGTAAAAAGTGGAAATTTTAATTTTAATAACATAGTTCACAAAACCCAATATATCCAAAATATTACCATTTCAACATGCAATCAATAGAAAATTATTAATAAATATATTTCATTTTTTTGTACCAAGTCTTTGAAACTCGATGAGCTCGCTCTCCATCAGCTGCACTAGTGAGCATGTACTGAGCACCTACTGTGTGCCAGGCTCTAATACAGGCACAGAGATAGAGGCTCAGTTCCTGCCCTTGATGAGAACTGGGGCTGGAGGAGGAGACAAGCTCAGTTCCAATGCGGAGGGATGTGCACATGACAGCAGTAGCACAGGGTGCCCTGAGCACAAGAGAAGGCTCCCCGGGGCCTGCCCTCAAAGCCGGTCCAGGGCCTGAGAGCTGTCTAGGAGGAGCCCCAGGTGTCAGGGTGGGAGGACGGCCTTCAGCGAGATGGGAGCTACAGGAGGAGGGGCGCTTTGGAGGGAAGGCCCAACGTGGACTGGGGACATCCAATAGGAGATGCCCCTCCCTAAAGAAGATGTACACGGGGCTCTGGGGGCAAGGGAGGGCTCTCAGCTTGCACTTGAGGGTTCCCTGGCAGTTGAAGAAACTAAGGGCGTGGACAAAATTACCCAGGCGGGAGCGTGTGAGGGAGGCATGACAAGGCAGAGCAGAAAGGCGGGGAGAGGACACTACCTGGAGAGTAAAAATTAGGGGGATGCCAAGCGGAGCCAGGGAAGGCCCCGAGGTTAGAGGGGCCCGTGTGAGACGGGTGGGGGTCCTGGAAGCAGGAGCGGGATCCTGGAAAGGATCATCGGGGTGGGGGGGGGGTCCTGGAGCTGGGCCTGTGGTCCCGGGGTGCGGCACACCTGCCCAGGCTCTGCTTCTCTGAGGTCACAATGGGTGATGGGTCTGCGCATGGGCTGCGCCCGGGGGTGGCACCACCGCGGGGGCCTGTGGCCGGACAGGCGGTAGCGCGGGTTCGTGGTCCGTCAGGACCGGGTTTGAAGCGCCCTGTCAGTGTTGAGATTCGCAGACGGCGCAACCTTCCTTTCCCTGACCTCCCCTTCTATCCTCCGCTTTACGTAATTTCATTTCAGATTAAAATTTCCGCTTGTTAAATGGGCAGACCTGACTTCACTTACCCTCAACATCACACACGCGCACGCCCCTGTCCCAGCTGCTGGAGCAGCCGCGACGAAGGTCCGGAGGCTCGAGAGGAGGAGCCCCGAAGGCCGGAAGCTCTAAGCTTCCGCAGCCTGGAAGCCCACCTGGCGCGTTCGGACGCCCCCGGGGTCCGGGTAGTTCTGGTCTAGCTCGCTGAGGCAGGGGGCGGGGCGGGGCTTCCGCGCGCAGCCGTCCTGAGGCACCGCCCCGCCGCCGCCCGCGCTCGATTGCTCCTGTCTGGCGGCGGCAGCATGGCGGCGGGGGCGGCTGAGGCGGCGGCGGTTGTGGTGGAGGTCGGCTCGGCCCGGCAGTTTGAGGAGCTGCTGCGCCTCAGAGCCAAGTAAGCGGGCCGGCGGGCGGCGGGGCGAGGGGACGCGGCGGCGGCGGCGGCCTCGCAGGCGGCGGCGGTGGGCGGCCCGGCTCCCTCGCGCCCGGCTCGGCTGGGCCTGGGCGCCGCGGCCGGCGCGGCCCGGACCCCCGGCTCCCGGCCCGGAAGAGGAGGGGGTCCGAGCGCCGCCGGCCAGGCACTCGGAGACCCGGGCCCCGACCCTGCCTGTCGCCTGGCGGCCGGGGCCTGGCGGTGACTCAGCCCGGCCAGGGCGCGGGCCCCGACGCCGGTGCGCAGCGGGCGGTCAGGAGGCCCGGCGGGGCGGGTTCGGCCCCTGTCGAGGGGACTCGGGCGGCGCTCGCGGCCTGAAGCGCGGCCGCGGACGAGGATTTCCTGTCCCAGGAGCCGGTCTACGGGGCTGCGCTCGTGGCACCCGGGCTTCTGGCCCGCGGAGGACTTCAGGAGACCCCCGCGGTGCCCAGAGCCCGTGTTTGGGGACCGACAGAAATCCTGAGCCGTATGGACACGTGCAGGTCGGAGCGCACGGGGGCCTTCCTGGTCGCAAGGCCACCTCTCCTTGGAGCGCCCTCCGGGTCCGGTTCTCGGCGGTCTTCCTGGTGGGGAGGATGCGAGCGCCAGCGGCGGGTAGCCTGGGAGTCAGCCACCTACTAGTCACGGGACCCTTGGGCAGGTTTCATGGCCAGGCCTCAGTGTCCTCCGTGGGAGCTGGGTTAGACTCGCGCCCGCCTCGGGGCTGGGCGGGTTAGATGGGAGGATGCGCGTGGCCGATGCTGCATTGCCCTTGCATTCACAGCGCTCGGAGGGCGTCAGCCTTCGGCATTTTCGGCGTGGAGCAGAGGGCTGGCGTGGAGTTCACAGGCAGTAAATACTTATTGACCTGAATGCTGTGGGATTGTGGATTAGAGGCAGGTCGTATTCTGATTGGGAGAATGAATGAGACGGAGAGGGCGGGTGAGATGGGGGAGTTGCTTTTGTTGAGAACCGGGTTAAAAGTGTTAGTCTAAACAGTACTTTTGGCATTTCAGGTTTGCCTGGAAAATTGTTAAAAAAAAAAAAGGGGCGGGGGGCCTGGAAATGACGTTTACTCTTTGATGAAAGGCGGGTTCTGATTCATCAACAGTCCACTGGGTACTCCAGTGGTGGCCTCTTGAAATGAGCAGGGCTGGTGTGCACCTGCCCTTAATAAATGTTTGAACTTAGTATGACCGGGAAGACTATTTTGCTTTTTTTTGTGTTTCACATTTTTTGTTTTTCTGTTTCATTTTGTAAACATAAAAGTTCTGAAAGTAATGCAATTGGTAAAAGTTTAAATGTAAATACCATTTGGATGTTTTCTTGCCTCTGGTCTGTACTTGAAAGGACCCAGAAAACAGTATACCCTTTCCATAATGATTAGTTTAAATGGGCACCTGGGAAATGATATGTGGCATCTGGGGAAGGAATAAATCTGCTGATTTTTGTGAAAATGGAAAAGTTTAAGAATATTAAATCGTACTTGTTAATGTAATCATTTAAAGTGTACTTTCCAAATCATCACTTCTCCTCACTTAAAAAATTTTATATGAATGGAAATTTTTTTTTGCTTCAGTCAACTAATCAGATGGTTTGTTATTGAAACCTCAATTGGTCTATACAATGAGGATATTAATACCCATTTGCAGAGTAATTAAGGTTTTGCCCATTTGTAAAATATTTGTAACACAGTCTAGTGTATGATAGTGTTTAATAAATGGTAGCTTCTGTTACCTGCAGATGAATAACTGTGGGAGCAGAACACCTTCAATAATAACCATTTATTGAACACTGAGTATTTTGCTGATGAACTTAGGTTCATTACATTGTTTAAAATCATATTAGTCAGGATTTGAACCTGGTCTTTCTCTAAAGGTTTTCTGTAAACAATGCACCCTGCATATTGGGCCATCCATGAAGGTGGAGAGAATACTGTTACATCTAATCAGGAGGGGATGACCACATTTATATTTGTTTCAGGCCTATGTCTTGATGTTAGGTATCCTGTACTTAATTGGAAAGTGGAAGTTAAGCATATGAATATGAGAATATTGTGGATAGTTTAAAATAACATTAATATTGTTCTTTAATGTTTTCAAAGTGCTTTTATATTTTTGTTTGATCTTCCTAACATCCCAGGATGTTACTTATTGTTATTTTACAAATGTGGAATTTAAGTGAAATTAAATTACTCTTCAAAGCCGCTTTAGTAGGAATGGAATTTAAGTTGTGTGGGTGTCCTTTTCAACTTTTTACGTACGTTGGCTCTTACTGTTAAAAAGTTTGGTAACCTATTTTAATTTAAAAAAATATATATTGTGAGCATTTTCCCATGTCATTAAAAATTACTTGAAATATGATTTTTAATGGCTTTATAA